TTGTTCACCGCTACTCCCACACAACATGTCAAGGCCGAGTTCATCAACAATGAGGTTACAGAATAAATAATAACAAAGTAAGATAAAACACAGAATAACAAAGATAAATGTCTAAAAATGAACAACCACAGAAAGATTAAGCTAACTGAGCCCTGTGAGCATTAAGTGATCAAATAAACAAGGTAATGAAGCATTTTAATCTGTTTGTTCTACACTGATGCAAAGAGGAAAGGATACCTGTTTGCCATAAAAAGTAAAAAAAAAAAAAAAAACACATTTAAAAAAATATTAAGCAAGAGTATATTAAATAAGTATACATGTTACAGGACAGTCAAACATATGGTTTTACATTTAACCCAACGTTTCTGGGATGGATTTTAATGAAAAGCTTGCATACACAAACAAGTTGTTTCAAACAAACTATTGATTCAGCCATCCTGATAGGCTGAAGCAGATTGTTCAAAAGTTTGGGTGCTGAAGGTGGCATGGTTTGGACATGGACAGAGGAATATTGGATACGGAGCAGTCAGTCAGCGGAAAAAAGCAGAAGAACCATACAGCGGTGGTCAAGTACCATCAGGAGAACAAAGAAGCAGCAGACCCACCAATAACAAGACAAACACAAGGACATAACAGCAGGCAAGACAGCAGCTCCTCAAGGAGGAATTGTCACAAAAATTTAGTGGGCACCGGTGGAGTGTAACCACAACGGTGACCCCCAATGGACACACCACCATGACAGCAAAGCCCAAAGGGAAAAAGGATGCTGTTTTCAATTGCAGGTGATACGTGCCCTCACTACAAAGTAATCACTGTAAATGCCATGAGCCTACTGTGGCTTCTAACCAAGCTGAACATCTTTATGTTAAAGGAAAGCAACTAATGCAACCATGGAGGGACTGGAACCCTTAATCTTCTGAGCCGAAGTCAGACGCCTTAGGCCACGTGGTCACACACAGTGACAGCTACAATTATCCCTGAACCTGTGCACTGTATACTTATGCTACTGGTGCCTTTCAAGCCAATTAAATAACAAAAAAGTCTTCATGCATTCTCAGTCATCCTGGTAAGGAAATCCCAGAAAGCTGATGCAGTTCATGTAAACACAACGTTTCGTCACTGATGCAAATGACTTCTTCAGTCTTAGCTGACTGCAGGTTTCCCCCAACCTTATAAACAGTACATTGGCATAATGGCCAAAACTAGTACCACTGACAGACAATGGGCTGTGACTTCAGTTTCATTATCCTTAATATGCAAAATGGCACTACCATTGGTCAATGGTTATAAGTAGCATTCACAAAGAGTGGCTGCACTCACAGCATTGTAAGATGGTGAAAGACGTACCCTTTTTCCTTTACATTCCCTCCTTAAATCCCCGCTCAAACCAGCATTCCGCCATGTCCAGGATGTGCACATCCTCATCACTGAAAGAGTACGTTTGACTAGTTTTCTACAACTGCAATGAAAAATTATGCAAGAGTCAAATGCTAACTTTATTGTCATATGTAGGCTCTGGACAAAGTTGCTGCTACTGTAAGCTTTCTGGTTTCTGCTTAGGAATCAAAAGCCAAAGTGCTAGTGATTGCTGATACTGACCGACATGTTTGGTTGCATGCAAATAAAGAATCTGCCGAGAGATCCAAGTCAATCTCGAAACCAATGGCCATTACTCGAGAACTATTTAGATTTGTGTTGTTTTATTTGTAAACCTTAATCGAACGGTGGAGGTCAAGTTATGCTCTGGAGAGGAGAAGATGTTGGGGCTGCAAACTGAGCACGAGTGGTAAGGTAGTCAACCTAATAAGACTAAGACTTAATAAGACTTAATAAGATAACTATGTGATCATTAAGGCAATTATGGCTCTGACAGCCTTAATCATAAGTGGCCAGTATGTGGCTTGAGCCCATGCCCATTACATTGGCATTAGTAGCACCAGGTTCTAACCATCTGAATTATCCAGCCCAAGCATGCAGTGAGAAAAACAGATTTTTTTCTAATTTGACCAAATATGGAAGATGCCAGAATCACCAGGTCATTATGAAACACTTAAGCACCACAAAGGGCGTCAAAAGTTTACTTTAAAGTCCCCTCGCCAGACACCTTGTCCATTAAGCCATATGCTCATACAGTTCAGCTGCACCTTATTTATAGGCTTATTTAGGGGCATAGTCCTACCTGACAACATCCAAAATCAATCTGCCATTCCTTGCTCAGCATAGACAGTTTCCCCTTCAAAAAAAACTGTATGAGAGGTTTTGGGTTTTTTTGTTTTTGTTTTATGTTTTAGAGTGGTGGGTTTGTCTAGCGTAGAACTGAAGTCATCATTAAAAATCAGATGCATCAACCACAAAGGGACATAAACCATCAGACTTTTGAGCTGAAGTCAAACGCCCCGTCCATTAGGCCACATGGAGATACTCTAAGCTGTGGTATTAAACCTTATTTATTACCAGGCAAAGTCCCACCTGGCTGAACATCCAAAATCAATGCACTGAAAGTGTAGATGCTGACTAATTATTTGTTTTCTGTACACCCCTGAAATGTTTGTTTATAGCATTTAGGGGTAAAATGTTGGCACCGAGACTTCAGCGTCAACTTCAGCTTATTTGGCTGGAGCAGATGTGCTGTTTGTGAGCCCTCATTGGGCTGCAGAGGGCACACGTCTGGCCAACTTAAGCAGTGAAAAGAGCGTCTTCATTAACATGCACAGCCAGCCGCTTCCTGTGAAACAGGCCTTTGTCACCCAGCAGATGCCCAAACACAGCGAAAAGAGGCAGAAAGAAGAACATAGATGGATGCTATATGAGCCATTATGAACAGAGAGAGGGCCACAGAGGGAGAGGTTTGGCACTTTGTCTGTTTATCTCAGTTAATCTTAATTAGTCCTGAGGTGTTTGGTAAATAAATTTCAGTTTTACGCTCCTCGGTTTAACCAACATGTCATATTAATAACTCAAATAATTAAATTTGTTTAACCATTTAACCACATATAAACACCAGGACTGGACCAGGTCACAGAGATGTCACCTGTTGGTTTCTGGCATTTTGAGGCTTCAACAGTTGAGGCTAGCCACCGCCATGCTGTTTTGTTTGGAGCCAGAGTTGCCATGTTTAGAAGATAGAGTGCTACATTATCAGCAAACTCTAGCAAGCGTAGCTAGCTAAGTAATTAACAAATTAGTGCTAAGCGATGGGCTACTTTCACTCACCAAAACTGAAGCACAAACTTCTTGGATGTACACTTAACCGCACAATACCACATGTTCTTCCTTCTCACTAGGGCAGTCGTGGCTCAAGAGTTGGCAGTTTGTCTTGTAATCAAAGGTTGCCAGTTCGAGCCCCAGCTTGCACAGTCTCAGTTGTTGTGTCCTTGGGCAAGACACTTCACCTACTGGTGATGGGCCGATGGCGCGATATGGTAGCCTTGCTTTTGTCAGTCTGCCCCAGTGCAGCTGTGGCTACAACTATAGCTTGCCTCCACCAGTGTGTGGTGAAATGCAATCCATTATTATTATTATTATTAGCCAGTATGAGGTTTGGACCTTGGAGTTAACCAGCTGAGCTAACCGGCTGCCGTGTACAAACCTTGAAGCAGTTTTATTCTCCATCAAACAATATTCAGTGACTGAGTTTCATGACAAGTTTATGAGAATTAATTTTTATTACTTATTCGTTTGAATTCTGTCAAGGCTTAAAGTTGACTGTTGAGCCATAACAGTGGGTGTAGCTGCTAGCTGTCAGCCAGTCTTCATGTCAGCTAATTAGAGTCACTGAAACTCTCCACCACATCTGTGCTGGTGGTGAAATCATTATCTGACAATCCCAAAAAGTTGATTCTGTTCATCTGGATGTAGCATTTTCTGTGGGAGAAACGTTCCTTCGCCAGTTGACTTCTTTAGTCAACTAAAGACGTCACTCGGATGAAAAGGCTACGTCCAGATGAACAGAAACAACTTTTTGGGATTTAGTTACCTGGATGATTGAGAATGCATCAAGATATCTGACAATGAATATGCAAAACCTAAGTATAATGCCTGTTGCGTTAAATATGATACAGGCTTTGCAACTATCCATTTTATGGCCAGCATAGGAATTGAACCTATGATCTCAGTGTTAGTAACACCGCACTATAGTCCTGAGATAACACCAAGGTCACGGGGAAAAGGCAATGCATTCGGCATCTTCAATCAGGTGGGAATACTTTACAAATATGCATTGATGTTTACAGATGACACTGCGATCTGTAGTCAAGGGGTCGAAGCAGGTCGAAGTGATCTTGGACAGGTGGAGGTATGCTCTGAAGAGAAGATCAATAAAAATTTTAATCATGTAAAGGGAAAGCCGAAAGGAGCAGAGGTAGTGCACATGGATGAGTTTAAATACCTCAACCATCCAAAACCACAGACAGTGCAGAAGAGAGTGCGGGCAGGTTGGAGTGGGTGGCGACAGGTGTCAGCGATGATTTGAGACAGAAGGTTTGCAGCGAGAATGAAAGGCAAAGTTTACAAGATGGTAGTGAGACCAGCTATGATGCATGGTTATGAGATAGTGGCACTGGAAAAAAAAAACAGGAAATGTTAATATTTAATTGGAAGTGACCAGGATGGACAGGATTAGAAATGAGTACATCAGAGAGACAGCTCAGGTTGAGCAGTTTGGACACAAAGTTAGAGAGGCAAGGCGGCGATGGTTTGGACATGTTAGAGGAGGGATAGTGGATGTACTGGACAAAGGAAGTTGAAGGTAAAGTATGAAAAAAAAAGAGGAAGACCCCAGACAAGGAGGACATACAGAAGGGCAGTGTGGAGATTACTGAGTGACGACATCAGAAGTCATGAAAAAAGGCCACGAAATTAATCTGCTCTCTTATTTTAAAGTTTGCAGAGTCAGTGCTGGTTCCTGCAGGGCTGCAGTGGAGTGAGGAGAGGTGGACACTTGGGATTGGTCAGCACTTTGAATGACAGGCTGGCTGACCTCAGACCTGCACCTCCTCACACCCCCACCCACATACTGGTCCAGTATAAAGACTGCAGCCCATCCTCAGCCTCTGCTCTCTGGACTTCTGCCTGCACTCGCACAACAGTAAGTCTTTGTTTTTTTGTATTTTATGTCGCAGCAAAGAGACAAAAGCTATTTCTAGTAAGTTTCATGACTTTTTTTAAAGGACTTGTTAAACACAAAAAGAAAATCTGCATTTAAAGCAGCAAAATTAAGAAGGATTTGTTACCGTATCAATGCTGCCTGGCATTTAAGGCTAAAGCGGGGCATTTTTTTCTCTGTAATGCTGGTAAAACTAATTAATTTAAGTCTCTCTGTTAATTATGGAGTCAGAGTTTTTATATCTGCAAAGGAAAATCATCAGCACGTGAGTAAAGTGTTAACTGTGTTGTTTTGTTAACTGTGATTAAGTGCTTAAAATGAAGGCAAGTTGACTTCTTTTTGATTCATCAAGACATTTCACCCTTCATCCCAAACCCTAAACTGAAGTTCATCTGCCTTCATTTCAAGCACTTACGGCTACCATGAACCTGCACAACTGAGGACCTGCACAGGCTTTAACTGTGGTCCATTTACTCAAGCATAATGGCCACCTTTCTTTGCTAAATGGTCAGAAAAAAAGACGTCAAGTAAAGTCATACAGAGCCAATCCTTGTACTTTCCATGTGTTAATAAATGTGGTCCACTCCCAAATTCTAGAAATGGTAAAAAGAACAACCCTTGGTATTATGTGGATTAGTGTTATTTAAGTACTTTTACTTGTGTTTTTTTCAGGAATCATAAATCAATACTTTTAAGTTCATCAGAATATATCAGAAAATAATTCAGCGACTTCATATTTTGATTGAATTCCAAAAAAACTATACAATTTCAAAAAAAATTAAATTAAAAAAAACTTTCTTTGAATCTCCCAAAATGGTCTTAAGATTAACGCTTTTATTTACTTTACTTTTCAAGGTTTAACAGACAGGTGACGATGACTGACCTGGAGACCTCGATGGCCACCATCCTCACTGTGTTTCAGAAGTATTCGGAGAGAGAAGGAGACAAACATAAACTGAAGAAGAGCGAGCTGAAGGACCTGCTTCATGACGAGCTCCCAGATCTGATGGCGGTAAGATGGGAAAAAATAAAAAATAAATAAATAAATAAATAAATATAGATAGATAGATAGATAGATAGATAGATAGATAGATAGATAGATAGATATATTGTGAGATTTAAAAGCATATGATATAAACTGTTAAGCACCAGTTTGGAGTTTTGTTGTCCCGAGCTGAACCCGTCCTCCCTCCCTGCAGCATGTGAACGACCAGGCTGCGCTGGACAGCCTGATGGACAGCCTGGACACCGACGGCGACGCCGAGTGCAACTTTCAGGAGTTCATGACATTCATCTCCGTAGTTACCGTCTGTTGCCACGAGTTCTTCAAGGACGAGCACGACTAAGGAGGTGGCAGCGGGCGGGAAGACAAAGGGGAGCCACAGTACATTATAAAGAAGCAGAAGCCTAGCAACGCACAAACTGTCGATGCCCTCACAGCAGCGCAGGGTGGAGGAAACACAATCCAGCCACCAGCCACCATTACGTGGCTGGTGGCTGGTAAAAAGCTCCAGTCTAGTGTCTGAAATCAGCCTCGTTTGTGTTTTCATTTCTAGATGGCATGTAAAGTCTTCAAAATGGCGGCAAAGATTGGTACAAAAGCAGGAACTAAAGTAGCTCAAGCAGAACAAATCTTAGAAGTGTTTCACTATATGTTTGGCCACCAAAGCCAACCATTTATCAATCAATACATGTTACACCTTTATTCCCGTACTCTTTATCATTTCCCATCACTTTGAATAAGTAAAGGCTTTGTATATGTTACAGGTTTTGGAGAATGGCTGCTACATTTGGCTGCTGTTCTAGCAGTGAAATTATAAAAGTTGTTTATATACTACATCGTGGACTGCTAAATCAATCTTACAGCCACAAACCGTCAGTTTGGGACTTTGCATGTAAAACCCTGAATGACCATATCAAGTTAACAGCTTTAGGAGTCAAATAACTAACTAAAGAGCCCCCTTTAGGCAGTTATTTGACTAAATGAAATATTGACTATCAAATATTGAAAGCAACTTTAAGGTTTGATGTCATATAATAAATTAACTAACTGGCTAGTAAAAGTTTCAAAATGACTTGTGGGTCCTTTGTTAAACCGAAATTGATCATTAGGGGCATTAAATAAGTAACAGTATTTGGTTGCTTTAGTAGTAGTATAAGTAGTATGTCTTCAATATGGCTTTTAAAAGAATGTTTTTCAAACTACAAACTGCCTGAAGGGCTTCGTTTTGATAGTGGCTTGCAGCTCAGTACTTCAAAGTATCATATGTTGGAAATATATGTTGTAAGCTGAGCTTTATATTAAAAGCACCTCAATAGCTAGTGAATAGGTTTGTTCAAACAGCGATGAATCTTAAAAATCTTTAGAGAATACTTAACTAAGAAAGTAGCTAATAAGTTAGTTCAGTCTAGCAGCCACAAGAATGCATCCACGGTTTAAAAAATCTATCTGAATATCACATTTTGAAAATATTTGCAGTTTGCATTGTGGGCTAGTCAGTTACTAAGACACTAACAGTCATTTAAGATTTTGCATGTGAGATTCTGGATAGTCAGTAAGTTGAGAAAGTTTACTTAAAGTTAGCTAACTCAGCTATTTTAGGAGTCAAATAATCGTGTAAAGGGGGGAAATATTGCAGATACTGAAACTTCAAAAGTGGGAAGTGAGGCATGAGTGGGAGAAAAGTTAGCTAGTAAAAGTTTTAAAAATGGCTTGTGAGTATGAGCTATTCTAACACCTCGTTTGTTAACTTTAACTGTATAGCAGTTGGGGGGAAAGTACCTGGTAAGTTGGGCTTCATTTTAAAAGCACTTAAACAACAGATGGGTTTGGGATTTGTTTGCCGAGCTCAATCCATTCCTGAAAATTGAATAATTTTTCGCTGAAACTGAAAAAGTTTTGTAGCTTTAGGAATCAATCAAGAATCTGAAGAACACTATTGGTTTGTTTTTAATCTTACATACTATCATAGTTTGAATTTGTTTGGCTTGTTAAAATTTACAGCGTAGTGATTTGGAGATAAATATAAAATATCAAATACTGAATGCAACAATTTAGGCACACAAAAAATATTACATTGGCTTGTAAAAGGTTCAGTTTGGCTAGAGAGTTTAAAGTATTCTAGCTCCTCCGTTGTTAAACTCAAATTAATTAGCGACTTCACAGGTGTTGAAAAGCACCTAAAAAGGATTTTATCGTCAAGTTCTTTTAATATTTGTCTTCTGAATCATTCCTTACATTTTTAAAATTTGACAAAGCCACTAAACTGAAAAAGTGGCTAGCAAGTTAAAATGAAGTAAAAAATAAGTATCAAATTTTAAAAGTAAATTTTAGGTTTGTCTAAAGTTGCTATAGTCATCTTTTGGAGACACTTTAATGAGTTTTTTAGCTTAGTAGCTGCTACTTTGCTAAACCCCTGATATTGTCGATTTGTTTTTTCTTGTTAGAAAAAAAATGCTGGTAGTTTCTGTCAAATTATTCTTTTTTTCATTTGCTCTCAAAATCTCTAAATCTGAAAAATGGCTATTAAGATAATGAAATTCAAATATCCTTCTTAAAGGTCTAAACGGCTATCAAATTTTAAAACTCAACTTTTAATTGGCTCATAAAGACATTAAAAAATGGCTTGTGAATTTTAATTTAGACGTCACATTGGAAACCTCTTTCAATAGTTTGAAGTCAGAGTGTTTAATAAAACTGTAGATTTTACATGTTTTACGTGTTATTTACATCTACGTTTATTTGGTGTTTTGGTAAAAATTACATCGAGGTCAAAATGGTTAAAATGACTAATACGTATCTTAAAATAGTTGCTGGTAGGCAAGTAATTAAAATTACTTTTAACTGACTTTAAATGTTAGCTTGTAGTTGCTGTAGCTGTTTGTAGGTTTACATGTATTCAGCATAAGAAGCAAATCTAAATCATTATAGATGTAGAAATGATCAGTTAAACAGTGCAACAGAAGAGTTTATCTGATGTGCATCATGACATGTTGAATGTTGGGTTGTTTGGACGTTGGTGATACGAATTTAATTAAATGGTCAGTTTGTGACTGAGTCAGTCAATATTTCTGTAGCGAGGGAACAAAGAAGGCTGTTTATTCTTATCTTGGGTGGCTGTCAGAAGAATTCAGAGACGCACTGCAGTAATATTTACATAGCAGTTCTGCAGAGTTGCTCAACCATTAAAGGCTCATATGTTGTTTTTCTCTGTGGTTTTACTCCTAGTATATCTGTGTAATGCCAAAGTGAGCACGGTGACAATAACAAAAAAGTATTCAGAGAGCCCTGACAACGAAATACTTGTAGTTTAACAGTGCTCTTTTAGTGTTTCGAATGTCACTGGCCTGCAGGTCTTTCCTGTTTAGCAAAGAGGCTATTCAGGAAAAACTGAAGTTCAGTTTGTCCTTTTAGCACTTTTTTCAGAAGATGTTTTTTTAAGGAAATGTGAGAAGCCTTTTTAAGACTTATTGAGACCAATACTGAACTAAAACATAGTGAAATTAAAATAAATACACTAAATGGTCCAGTGGTTAGTCTTTTCTGAGGCACAGAAATGTTTAGTATTTTATTCCTGTAACTTCACATTTGCAGCACAAATATGACTCAGTGTGAGTCATAAAAATTAAGTGGCATCAGTGGATATTTCTCTTTAGAGTGCACCTTGATCAGCACGTTTAATCTTTATGACAGTTTTTTAAAGCATCCATTCATTTTCTTAATGGCTCATCTATTTACGGTCTCTTAGGTGATGGAGTCTATTCATGTTGATTTTGGGATGATGATGAGGTACATGACAGGTCATCAGAACATGAATGGATCGCTAAACAACTCCAACATTTCTTAAAGTTTAATGGCAATACTTCAAATAATAAAATAAGATACAAATATGAAGGAGAGTCAGGTGAAGTCCAAAACCTCTTTTGATCAGGAGTTCACAGTTATAACAGTCCAAGAAATTCTGGTGATCTGTACGTGCTCCTTCAAGAACAGCCATCAAAACTCATTCATCACAAGTGTGAGCATAAAAGAAAAATACATCAAACTAATCATTCCCTTTATTATCCTCTAGACATCGACGGATGCTGTTTTGTATTACTAGAGTAAAAATCGGATAGCATCATCCTTGGTACCAAGAAAAACACGGTGGAAAAGGGGATTTGGTTGCCAACTGGTTGTATTCTGGGTATATTCGAATAAAAAAAATAGAACTGTGAATGCCTATGTCACGTTGCAGTTAAATAACTGTCCTGCAGAAACTATGCAAGAATTTCTGTTTCGGATTTTTTAGGTTGTGGCTGGACTGTAGATGTAAGTAGTTAATTTCTGTATATGCAGACAGCGACAGAGTTTATCACAGTTAATCGCTGCATTACCACAAACCGATGGCAACTTGACCCCATTCAATCACAAACTGACAACAGACTGACTTCATGTTATTGCTGTTTCATCACAGTGTTGGCACACCAAAGTCTCTTTGAAGATGGCAACTAACAGTGAATGGTTCTCTTTAAAGCAACCACTTCAAAGGCAACAAGTTCCCAAATTCATTGTGTTCAGTAATAATATTGGTCATGCTATCCCAGCAACTGTTTTCCCAAGTGTGACTGTAGCATAACAGCCACTATTAGGTCTCATTTTTGATGTTGGGTTGTGGCATTAGCAAGATGGCAAGATTTCTGTTAAAGATTAATGGTCTAAGGGTGTATTTTAATACCAAACAGACCTAACCAAGTACTTTTTAGTGTCTAAACCTCACCGACAAGTGAACATAAATGAAGGCCAGAGGTACTAACGGCTGAAATGCCTTTTAACTCCACCACTCCTTCAACCTCCTAACAAAGATTTTTTGATGGTCAATACTGACAGGGATAGTTATACACCTTGAATAGCATTGGTGGCATTATGTGACACAGCAGGATGAAAGTGTGCTGTGCAAGTCTATTACAGTGCAGATGGAGACAACCATCAATTCCTGCACTGAATCCATAATTAATTCAATATGCATGTATTTGGACTATGGGAAGAAATCCATGCAGGCACAGGGAAAACATGCAAACTCCACAAAAGAAAAATGTAATGAAACAAATAACAAAAAAGTGCTAGATATATAGTTTAGTATAAGAACTGAAGGCAACCAAGAAAGACAAACTCCAAAAGTACAAAACAAGACCACAAGTAAAGAACACAGGAAGGCAACAAAACAATCTGACATACACAAAGGAGGGAAAAGAACAAAAGCAGGAAGTCAAACCAAAGCAACACTAACTTTCAAAGTAAAACAGGAAGGCAAAAAACTAACATGAGAGATGAAGACAAACCATGAAAATTTTAAATATGAGAAGCTAAGAAACAGTGTAACCAGGACCATCAAGGAATCATTTTCTTATCCTAGTTTTTGATGCATGTGGATTTAAGATAATCTTTCTGTGATGTTGAAATCTTACCTCGGCTCGCTAAGGAAGAGTAAAATGAATACCCCATTTCTTCTTTTATCTGGCTGAATACAAATATTCACCCTTGTATTGGAGATTTAGAACATACAGGTACCTTTTTTCACATTTGAAAAGGTAAATGTACCTTTAGGTCCATTAATTAGCTATAAGGAGGACATTCCACGTAGATTGTACATGGACTTTTACTCTAGCCCCGTTTCTGAGGCTGTGCACCCTTTTCTTGTTAAGAAACCATCTTTATTTGTCTAAAAGAAGACGGTTCACATTAATAACCAGGCTGAAGGTAAGGATTATTCAGCACAGGACGTGCACAAGGGCCAAACAACAAAAACACACATACACACACACACTGAAGTGCTCCTCTGTGTGTTAACAGATGATGCAAGAGGCGTTGTCAGCTGCATGCACTCAGACATCTGCAGGCTGTTTAGGATCAGAGAGGTGGAGTCAGCTCCGCTATTGGCCAGAGGGGGAACAGATCTCGACCCTGGGGACTGACACCACACCCATCCGTATGTGTGTTTGTGAGTGTGTTTTGAATTGTGTGTGTTGTCCAACATACACTCTGTCGGTGTAAGAAGAGTTGCCTGCTGACTCTCAGAAACTGGTGAGCTTCTTTTTGTCTTTATGTCAAAATCCTTGTTGTGGTTTTGTGTTGCTTTGAGCAGAATGAGCTGCTCTGCAAACAAACTGCTGGGCACTTTGTTTTCAGGTTATAGTCAGTGGTCAACAATCTGTTCTCACTTATTTTAAAAGTTGCATGTGTGAAGCTAAAGTACTGCTTTAGTGGAAACAAATAAAAACCTTAGGCACCTCAGTTAGGGATGTTTAAAGAGCATTAAACTCAAATAACCTGGTGATTAAAGTGTCATATTTGTGCATTACACTTTAATGCTCTGCAGCTGTTTACCCGAAGCATGACTCTTGTTACGGAGGCAAATGTCGATGCTTTGGATGCATTTTAGTGCGACACCTCGAGTTCATGAGTCAGGAAAAAATGTATTTTCCTTGAAAGGCTCTATTGTGTGGTGAAATGTGCTAAAATGGGGCATTTTGCAAATGAAATGTTCACGGGGTCAGAAAAACCCTGATACAATTGGAAATGCTGACTGGATTTCTCACTTGCAGACACAAACTTAGTTCACTGCTGTCAAAACATCTGGCACAGAATTCAAATCTGGCTCTGAGAAAAAGGTTCCTGAGGGGATCACGATACAATAAGTTAACACTAATCACTTTAAAAGGAAGGGTTATACAACTGTTGGTTTGGGTTTCCAGCTTATTTCCTGGATATGCTCCTCATAACAATTTCTTTAAAAATTTCGTGATCGTAAGCCTCAAGGATTCACATGAGGTAATGGGATAAAATAAAAACTGAACATTATTTCAGGCACCTTTGTGTATTGAGTTTCTAATATGTTAGGATCCAAGTTAGGGTGTTGTTTGTGGTGGGAAAAGCTTAATGTGTGCACTGACAAGACTGTAAAGATGTCAGGCTAGAAAATGAAAGTCTGAACTGGTACCAATGTTGCTTTTTTGGTGTCAGGGAAACAAACAAGCACAAGGTAAGTTGAACAAAAACAGATGAACACTGGTCACTGGATTTGCAGTCAACAAAATCAATACCCATGTTCAGAGGATGCTGAGGCATCTCTAAACCTGAACTCTTGATTCAACAACCTGAGTCACTTTTTTTAATAGACAGAAATTTGTTGATCATCATCATTATACTTAACTTATTAAGGTTGAGGAGGAGCTATGGCTCAGGAGGTAGAGTGGGCCATCCATCCATCCATCCATCCATCCATCCATCCATCCATCCATCAGGTAGTCAGTGATTGGATACCAAGCTCCTACAGCATATGTGTCAAAGTGTCCTTAAGCAAGACACTGAACCCCCAGTTCATCCCAATGCATCTATCAGAGTGTTTGAGTACCCGTGATAGTTAGAAAAGCGCAGAATAAAGTACTGGATGAAGGTGTTTGGATGGTGAATGGGGTTGGTAGTAAAACACTCCTTTCCATAAGTATCAGTCCGTTAAGCAGCCGCTACATCCATCATCATCACAAAGTTCTAGCCAATAATTACTGAGCTTATAAAAATTCCCAGACTGCACTGCATCTTCAAACTTGATCTTGATTACAAGTGCACATCTGTAAAGTGTCATTAGAGTCAGACTCAATGGGTGGAAGCAACACAAAGTATTATGTAAGGCCTGTAGCCATTTCTCTCATGCTCGTCTCAACAATTTCTAGTTTATATTTGCTGGAAACACATATCTATGTCAATGTTCAGAAGGACAGAGCATTTAAATCCCTGACAAGACATTAAAATGCACAAATATAGGAAGCGGTAAATGCATTAGCGTCTATTATGGCTAATATGACTGGTTGATACACTACTCATTAAAACCAGCTTACCATCATTAAACTTGGGATTTTACCAGCTGTGACTGCATAAACTTAAGTCCCTGATCACAGCAAGGATTGACCAGGGATTAGCCACAGGCCTGGACAATCCAGGGGGCCATATAAACTGTATCCATGATGTTTACCCATGTTTATGTCATTTTTCTTTCTTGACAGTCAGCAAAATTTTAAAACTACTTCTTACCTCCTGAACAAGTAGTTTTTAACGCCTAAGCCTAACAGAATTGTTTCTGTGGCCTTTATTGCTTAAAGCTAAATAAATAGATTTTAATGAGAATTAATAACACAATAAACCACTCAAACCAATATCACCAATCATCACGAGCTGTGGGTTGTGACCTAAAGAATGAGATCCCACATACAAGCAGCTGAAATGACATTCCTCCAAAGTGTGGCTGGGATCAACTTTAGAGAGACGGTGAGGAGCTCGGTCTTTAATAAAGGGCTCAGAGTAGAGTGGGAACGTCCTACGTGAGGAGGCCCCAGGCCAGAGCCAGGACATGCTGGAGAGATTACATCAGCAGATGGTCCAGCGTAAAATAACTAAAATATTACAGCGAAAATGCAGCTAATTAAGAGGAAAATTTGTAGGAAATTAGCTGCACTAGCTGTAAATTAAATTATCATCAGTTTAAC